CCCATCCCAAAATAGCACTGCACAGCTAAAGATGCTGTGTCGGCACAATTCAGAAGCCAAGTTGGTGTGTCCCAGAAAGCTGGTCAGTGACTCAAACAGTGACTGAGGAGAAGAGAGCAAAGTGCCCGAGGGGGGAAAAACAGTCACAAAGTGGGCAAGTGGAACATTCTTTCCACCTTTAGATGTTTTACGTAAGTCTCTCAAACATGGATGTGTGGGGGGCTGGAGAAGTTAAGAGTGCTGGCTATTCTCACAGAAACGACCCAGGTTTGGTTCCCAGCACCCACATGGCACTCACACCAACCGTTAGCACCCTCTCCCGGCTACTGTGGGCACTGCATGCACACGGTACATAGACATACACGCAGGCAAAACACCCACACACATAAAATAAAACCTTCTTAAAGTTTATGTGTGGGGCCAGTGGGACGGCTCAGCAGAAAAAGGTGCTTGCCGCCAAGCATGATGATCTGACTTTCATCCCTGGAACCTATGTGACGGAAGGAGAGACTTGACTCCTGCAAGTTGTCCTGGGACCTCCAAACTTTTGATGTGGCATGCCTACATATGTGTGTGCATACGTGCAAACACACACACACACACACACACACACACACAAATAATTAATTAAAGTTTAAGAAATACTGCAGATAGTTGTTGATATCAGCACACTTGGCTCTAAGCACGCCTGTGCTGGCTTTCTGGTGAAATCTCAACATGCCACCAGTCAGGAGGGCTCTTGGCAGCTCTCCCTCATAGCTGGCTTTGCCTGAGGCCTCAGTTTTCCCCTGTCTGCTGAGTCAATACCCGTATGCTGCTTCTCCAGCCATAGCCTTTCTGCTGAGGCCAGGCTCCATGCCCCCCGCCACATAGCTACCTCTCAGGGTCTCAAGGCAGAATGCCACCTCCCTGACACCTTCCTTCCAACAGTCTCAGGAAAGCACAGGAGGTGCTTGGCTGAGGAACACCCACCATCCAGGCGCCATCTTCCAAGGAGATGCCTGACCTTCCTGCTCTTCTTCCTCAATGGCCCTCACAAAGGTCCGTCTTCCACCCACTTTGGCTGCACAGACATGGTGGCTGCTCTGTACCTGCTCTCTGTGGCTCCCTTGCCCCTGCCCCCCCCACACACACACAGTGAACCTCCTTCCCTCCCAGGTCTCAGGTCTTTGTTTCAATGTCGCCCTGTTGGCAAGGCTCCCATGCCCACCCTGTGCACACCAGCATCCACTCACACAGACCCCCGACTTGCCTCCCGTGGTACCATCTGACATCCTAGGTCTGTGACCCAATCCCTCTTGTCCTTGTCACACACATGAGAATATCAACAACACGATACAGGGTGTCTGCTTTGCTCACTCTGGCAGTGCCCAGCACTGGGTGGACATCTATCTGTTGCCACAGAAGCAAGCTATCGAGGGTGCCAGAGGCACACACAACCACGTGCAGGAAGTGTGGGCGTCAAGGGGACTGTCAGTATCAGGCCTGAGCCATGTCCTGTGAATGAGGCTGACTCTCAGAGTTAGGGATGTCCTGGGCTTGAGCAACCCTCAAGGTTGAGCTGTCCCTTCCCCAATTAGAGCCTCCAGCCTCTGCCTCCAAAAGAATCCATCCTCCCCCTGGTGGCCATTTATGACATTGCCGGTGCCTCATCAGGTTGCCTGAAGAAAATAATACCTAGGATTTGGAATTCTGTTTTTCCTTTTTAATTTTTTTTGGGGGGCAGGGTGTGGCTATGGAGCCAGTCTGGCCTTGAATTCACTATGCAGCCCGGGTTGGACTTGAACTCATGACCCTTCTTCCTCAGCCTCCCAAGAGCTAGGACTACAGGTCTGTGTGCTATAATGCTTGGCCGGCTTGTGCTCTGAGGTGTAATTTGTAGCACACATGTATACTACTGCAGAGCAGTCTGAACTTCAACACACTGACGAAACAGAGGTAGAGGCACAAACTTCTTTTTCTGGCTACTAATCTAGAAGCCAGCACCTTAAACACCCTTTCAAAGACTCCGGTGTGGCCACAGTGTCCTGTTAGCCACTGCATCCAAGGCCAGGTGCAGAGCTGTGCAAGTCATAAAAAGCACACCTTCAGCCGGGCGTTGGTGGCGCATGCCTTTAATCCCAGCACTAGGGAGGCAGAGGCAGGCGGATCTCTGTGAGTTCGAGGCTAGCCTGGTCTCTAGAGTAAGTGCTAGGACAGCCAGGGCTTTGACACCTATGGGGTGTGACACAGAGAAACCCTGTCTCGAAAAACCAAAAAAAAAAAAAAAAAAAAAAAAAAAAAAAAAGAGCACACCTTCTTTATGATAAGTGTCGCCACCTGTTAGAAACCTACCCCACTTTCCTGATTTGGGACAGTTGTGGCATGGGTGGCGTCCCCTCAGACAGACTCCTTTTGCAGTGTGCGTGGGATGACCTGACGAGAGTACATTATCACCTCACGATAGACTTGAGAGGGCCTGAAGCTGCTTTGGCTCTTTTTATTTATTTAAAAATTCTAAATACACTAGTTTATATTTTAATAAATTAATCAAGTATTCAATTAATTTAGACACAAGGTCTCCCATCCCGAAGACTGGCCTCAAACCCCCTTTGTAGCCAAGGATGACCTTGAATTTCTACTCCTCCTGTCTCCACCCCCTTAAGGACCAACTTACCCAGTGTCTGCCCCTATGTATATAAAGGGGAAACTGAGGCTAAGAGGAAGTGGCTCACTGCAAGTCACTCACTACAATTAGCTGAGGCCTGGTGGCTGGCCCTGTGCCTGCCTGTGTCACCTCCAAGACCCATCCAGCCTCCCGCCTGCCACCCCTGTCCCCCTACCTGCGTGTAGCAGCGCACCAGCAGGCCTTTCTCCTTCAGCAGACGGATGAAGTAGTGGCAGATGGTTGGCTGTGAGGAGAATGACAAGGCTGATGGAAATATCCACAGGGTTAACCCTGTGTGCTGGGGATGATGCTAGTCGCGTGTCCACTCTAGCCCATGACCCTGTCACAGCTGCCCATGAGGGTGAGCCTGGCATCCTCCCATACTACACATGAGGAGACCCAGGCAAGGTGGTGGTGGCTTGTTGGCTTCACCAATCGGTTAGTTGCAGAGCTAGGTTCACAACCAGGCTTCGGCCTCAGCCCTTTCTGAGCCTCTCAGCAGCTTTGTCTTACAGTTGGGAAAACTAAAGAGGTGAGGGGCCAGGAGGGCGGCCGGGCCACCAGACCTGCAACCCATTCCTCCCACTTTTATTTTCTGAAAAATGTTTATTACTTATTTGGATTTTGGTTTTTGTTGTTTGTTTTACCAGACAGGTTTTTTGTTTGTTTGTTTTGTTGTTTTTGTATAGGCTTGGCTGTCCTGGAACTAGCTCTGTTGACCAGGTTGGCCTCAAACTCACAGTGATCCTGCCTCTGCCTCCTGAGTGCTGGAATTAAAGGCATCCGCCACCACCGACTGGCTGCAGGGATTTTTTTAAAAAATGACTTATTTACCTTATGTGCATCGATTGGTGTTTTGCCTACAGCTGTATCTGTTTGAAAGTGTTGGATTTTCTGGAACTGGAATTACAGACAGTTGTGAGCTGCTGTGTGGGGTGCTGGGAATTGATCTGGGGTCCTCAGGAAGAGCATCCAGTGCTCTTATCTGTTGAGCTACTGCTCCAGCCCACCAAGTGCTTGGATTAAGGGTGTGTACCACTATACCAGGCCTTCCTTCCTTTAAAAAAATGTTTTATTATTTTTAATTATGTCTACATGGATGGGTCTGTGTGGTCAAAAGCATGTGATACATGGTAGACCAGTGCCCACTGAGGCCAGAGGTATCAGATTCCCCGGAGCTGGAGTTACAAGTGGCTGTGAGCACCTGCCATGGTGCTGGGAACTGAAGGTTCTCTACAAGCTCGATCTTTTTTTCTTTTACTTTTGAGACAAGGTATATGTGGTCTAGACTGACCTTGCATATAAAAGTTTCCCGTCTCTGCCTCCCAAATGCTACAATTATGGGCATGTACTATCACATCTGGCCAGACTTTATGCTTTTTTTTCTCCCTTAAAACAGTATTTAGGGGGCTGGAGAGATGGCTCAGAGATTAAGAGCTCTGCAAGCTGCTCTTGCAGAGGTCCTGAGTTCAATTCCCACCAACCACATGGTGGCTCACAACCATCCGTTATGAGATCTGGTGCCAACCTCTGGTGTTCAGATGTACATGGAAGCAGAATGTTGTATACAAAATAAATAAAATCTTAAAAGAAAACAGTATTTATTACGTATTTATATGGGGGTGGGGTGCGCTTGCCACAGTGCATATGTGGAAGGCAGAGAAGCCTCTCCTTCAGTCCTGTGGCTTCCAGGGACTGAATTCAGGTCATCAGGTTTGGTGGCAAGCCCCTTTACCCATTGAACCATCTTACTGGTCTCAGAGCACGCATTCTTAACAATCATGTCATGCTTGTCTGACGGGCCTGTAAGGAGCCTCCTTCCCATGTCTATCTCTCCCAATCTCCCCTGAGGAAAAAGAGCTCACCTTGAACTGCCCGGGATAGAGCTCCTTGGCAAGGGCAAAGAAGGGTTCTGGATGTTTCTGTAGGAGGGAGAAGCAGAGGCCACGGGCCAGGTAAGGTAAGGTAGGGCCTGGAGTGGAAACTCCCTCCCTGCCCTCAGCTTAGCAGCTTGTACCTTGAAGTAACTAATCTCAAAGATGGCTTCCGGGTAAGGGAGGTGGTACTTCTCCAGGTTTGCATAGAGGCCAGTAGACGGCGAGCGGAAGTCAGGGATACCCGCAGCTAGGAAGGAGTACTTCTCATTTGTTTTAGCTACCCCCCCCCCAATATATGCAAGAACCCTTCCAGGGCCCCCACACCCGCAGGAGTGACTTGAAGGAGGGGACACTTACATGTGGAGATTCCAGCTCCCACTAAACAGATGACCCTGCGACCTGAAGGAGAGAGTTCATATGATATGATAAAGTTTCTCCCCTGCCCTGTATTGCTGGTGGGGAGGACAGTATTTGACAGGATCTCATGTATTTCAGGTGAGCTTTTTGTTTGTTTGTTTGTTTTTGTTTTTCCGGACAGGGTTTCTCCGTATTGCTTTGGAGCCTGTCCTGGAACTAGCTCTTGTAGACCAGGCTGGCCTCGAACTCACAGAGATCCGCCTGCCTCTGCCTCCCCAGCACTGGCATTAAAGGTGTGTGACACCACCACCCGGCTCAGTGGTTTGTATTCTTATGCGGGCTTTGCTCCCAGTTTTTAACAGTTCTTAGAAAAGAAGATGGGTGCCAGGCAGTGGTGGTGCACGCCTTTAATCCCAGCACCCAGGAGACAGAGGCAGACCGATCTCTATGAGTTCAAAGCCAGCCTGGTCTACAGAATGAGTTCCAAGACACAGCCAGGGCCACACAGAAAGACCCTGCCTGGAAAAAAAAAAAGGAAAAGAAAATATGGGGTTGATATAGTTGAATCCATTCACAAGCACACACTGGGCAGAAATAGCCTTGTTGCTGCCTCAGCTGCTGGCTGGCAGGCAGCCCAGCCAAACAGAGCCCTGGCATCTGTCTGTCAGCTGATGGACAGACACAAGTGTGGTGTCCCATGAATTGGGCACCCCTGCAGTGTTCTGCCTAGGGCACAACAAGTGTGAACAAAGGTCAAAGCCTGCCATGGGGCTGGTGAGATGGCTCGATGGGTAGAGGCACTCATTCGCTGCCGAGTCTGAGTGTGATTCTGAGAAACTACACGGGGGCGGGAGAAGGATGACACCTGAAAAGTGTCCTCTGCTAAGCAGACAACAGCACACCCGCATGCACACCAATACACACACCACACACATATAAAGTTTAAACCGGGCGTTGGTGGCGCACGCCTTTAATCCCAGCACTCGGGAGGCAGAGGCAGGCGGATCTCAGGGAGTTCCCGGCCAGTCTGGTCTACAGAGTGCATTCCAGCGAATACACAGAGAAACCTTGTCTCAAAAAAGAACAAAACAAAAATGTTAAAAAAGAAATTTAAAAAGCCACAGTCTAGGTACCCAGCTTCTTTAGGATGTTGCTGACTGTAGTCTGTAATACCACCATTTAGGAGGAGACTGAGGCAAGATAATCCTGTGTTCAAAGCTAGCCACAGCTACAGAGCAAGACCTTGCTTCAAGGGCCCTGGTATCAAATCCTGACTGTGCCACTTGCCAGATGTTCACACCAAGTCACAACCTTTCTGGACCTAAGTTTCCTCTTCTGTTCAGCTAACTTCTAGAAAGACTTCACAGCTCTTCTGAGATAATTAGGTACAAAGATGCCTGGGAAGTCCTTGGCCCAGAGCCTGGCAATAATCACTGTCTATCCTAAGTCCCTCACCTGATAAGCCAGGAACTCTAAGACCTTCAGTAAGAAGATGAAGGACACATGGCTCCCAGCCACTCCCGGGGTTCTCTCTGCAGGCGGCTGCCCAGCCTGTGGCAGGGGAGGGGGGCTCAGCTGCCCACCCTGGCTGCCAAGGAGGGCCACAGCAGCTGGGCAAAGGGGAAACTCGAGATGATGGCCTCAACAAAGGGCTGTTCAGGACCCTCAAAGCTCCATTGTTCCCACTGAGGACCTCCAGGGCCTGGTTTCTCAGACTTTGGTGACTCAACCTCAAAAGAAATACAAATTTCACGGTGACCCAGCTAGCTGGCCTCTAAACAGCAATCTGAGACAGGCTTCCTGTCCATAGCACTCAAGGGACTGGGTCTCTTTTGAGTGTGTGTGTGTGTGTGTGTGTCTGTGTGTGTGTGTGTGTCTGTGTGGTGTGTGTGTGTGTGTGATGTGTGTGGTGTGTATGTGGTGTGTGGTGTGTGGTGTGTGTGTTGTGTGTGGGTTGTGTGTGTGTGTGGGTTGTATGTGTGTGTGTGTGATATGTGTGTGATATGTGTGTGTGTTGTGTGTTGTGTGTGTGTGTGTTGTGTGTTGTGTGTGTTGTGTGTATGTGCTGTGTGTTATGTGTGTGTTGTGTGTGTATGTGTGTGTGTTGTGTTGTGTGTGGTGTGTGTTGTGTGTGTGTGTTGTGTGTGTATGTGGTGTGTGTATGTGTGTATGTGTGTGTGGTGTGTGTTGTGTGTGTGTGTTGTGTGTGTGTGTGTGTGTGTGTGGTGTGTGTGGTGTGTGTATGTGGTGTGTGTTGTGTGTGTGTGTGAAATGTGTGTGTGGTGTGTGTTGTGTGTGTGTGGTGTGTGTTTTGTGTGTGTGTGTTGTGTGTGTATGTGTTGTGTGTATGTGTGTGTGTGTGTGTGGTGTGTGTGTGTGTGTGTTGTGTGTGTGTGTTGTGTGTATGTGTGTGTGTGTGTGTGGTGTGTGTGTGTGTGTGGTCTGTGTGTGGTGTGTGTTGTGTGTGTATGTGGTGTGTGTATGTGTGTATGTGTGTGTGGTGTGTGTGTGTGGTGTGTGGTGTGTGTGTGTGTTGTGTGGTGTGTGTGTGTGTGTGGTGTGTGTGTGTGGTCTGTGTGGTGTGTGTTGTGTGTGTGTGTTGTGTGTGTATGTGGTGTGTGTATGTGTGTGTTGTGTGTGTATGTGTGTGTGGTATGTGTGTGGTGTGTGTGTGTGTGTAGTGTGTGTGTGTGGTGTGTGTGTGGTGTGTGTGTGTGGTGTGTGTGTGTGTATGGTGTGTGTATGTGATATTTCTCAGGACCTATTCACCTGTTTGGGATTTTTTACACCTTTATTTGTGTGTGCGCCCCAGCAAAGGAGTAGAACTCACAGGACAATCTCTGAGAATCAATTCTCTTTTACCACGTGGGACCTCGGCATCCAGCTGAGGTGGTCAACTTTGGTGGTAAGCACCTCTACTTGCTAAGCTGTCTTGCAGATCCTGGTTTTTAAGGCAGGGTCTCTCACTGGCCCTGGGGCTTGGCTTGGGTCCTCTTGCTCCTGTCTCCCCAGCCCTGGGCTTGCAAGCACTGAGCTTCTTATAGGATGCGGGGAGATTAAAACCAGGTCCTCATGCTGGTGTGGCAGCACTCTGTAGACTGAGACATTCAGTCCATCTCTATTGCCTGTTTTTATAAAGGAGCCCAGGCTGACTTTGAATTAGACCCTCCTGCTTCAGCTTCCAGAGTAGCTGGGATTGCAGGTGTGCCAGCACACTGGGCACAGTGACACCTCTGTTAATTTCCTAATCCTCACCCTGAGTCACCTCAGAGGTATTATCACTAATAGGCTAGAGCCTGGTGGTGCTGGTCGGTATTCCCAGCTATTTGGGAGGCTGAGGAGGGGAGATCAACCTTCAGGGACTGTACAGAGAATTCATACCCATTCAGAATACAAAGCAAAAAGAGGGCTGAGCCTACAGCTCCATGGTAGAGTGCTTGCCTCGCATGTGGGGGTCCGGGTTTCATCCTCAGCACCTACTTGTTCCACCCCTTAAAAAAATAAGCAGTGACTCAGGTCTGGCCAATCCAAGACAGGGAACCCAGAGGAGGCAGAATTTAGGGCAGTTTACATGACTCAGTCTAGGTCCCTGTGAC